AAATCATTTAACATGAAATCTAGCCTCTTAACATATTTTAAAATGTACAGTACTGTATTGTTAACTACAGGTACTATTTTGTACATCAGATCTCTACTTTTTATTCATATTGCATAACAGAAACTTTGTTTATAGTCTTTCATGAACAATTCCTCATTTTGCCCTCCCTCCAGACCAGACCATGGTTTTTAAATTTTTAAAAAATTTTATTTATGTATTTTAAGCTCTGGGACACAGGTGCTGAATGTGCAGGTTACTTACATAGGTATACATGTGCCATGGCAGTTTACTGCACCTATTAACCTGTCATCTAGGTTTTAGCCTCATATGCATTAGGTATTTGCCTTAATGCACTCCCTCATCTTTCCCCCCACCCCACAACAGACCCCAGTGTGTGATGTTCCCCTCCCTATGTCCACATGTTTGAATTGTTCAACTCCCACTTATGAGTGAGAATCTGTGGTGTTTATTTCTGTTCCTGTGTTAGTTTGCTGCAGATGATAGTTTTCAGCTTCATCCATGTCACTGCAAAGGACATGAATTTATTTTTTATGGGTGCATAGTATTCCACAGTGTGTATGCGCCAATATTTTTTTTAATCAGGTCTATCATTGATGGGCATTTGGGTTGGTTCCAAGTCTTTGCTATTGTAAATAGTGCTGCAATAAACATATGTGTGCATGTGTCTTTATAGTAGAATGATTTACAATCCCTTGGACATACACGCAGTAATGGGATTGCTGAGTCAAATGGCATTTCTGGTTCCAGATCCTTGAGCAATCACCACACTGTCTTCCACAATGATTGAACTAATTTACACTCTCACCAACAGTGTGAAAGCATTTCTATTACTTCACATCTTCTCTAGCATTTGTTGTTTTCTGACTTTTTAATAATTGCCATTATAACTGGCATGAGGTGATATCTCATTGTGGTTTTGATTTGCATTTCTCAAGTGACCGGTGATGATAAGCTTTTTTCCTTTCTTTTTTATTTTTTATTTATTGCATTTTAGGTTTGGGGGTACATGTGAAGACCATGCAAGATTGTTGCATAGGTATACACATGGCAGTGTGATTTGCTGCCTTCCTCCCCTTCACCTATATCTGGCATTTCTCCCCATGCTCTCTCTCCCCAACTCCCCACCCCTGGCTGTCCCTTCCCTATTTCCCCCAAACAGACCCCAGTGTGTAGTGCTCCCCTCCTGTGTCCATGTGTTCTCATTGTTCAACATCCGCCTATGAGTGAGAACATGCAGTGTATGATTTTCTGCTCTTGTGTCAGTTTGCTGAGAATGATGGTTTCCAGGTTCATCCATGTCCCTACCAAGGACATGAACTCATTTTTTTGATGGCTGCATAATATTCCATGGTGTATATGTGCCACATTTTCCCTGTCCAGTCTATCATCGATGGGCATTTGGGTTGGTTTCAGGTCTTTGCTATTGTAAACAGTGCTGCAATGAACATTCGTGTGCATGTGTCCTTATAGTAGAATGATTTATAATCCTTTGGCTCTACCCAATAATGTTATTTCTATTTCTAGGTCCTTGGGGAATTGCCACACTGTCTTCCACAATGGTTGAACTAATTTACACTCCCACCAACAGTGTAAAAGTGTTCCTATTTCTCCACATCCTCTCCAGCATCTGTTGTCTCCAGATTTTTTAATGATCGCCACTCGAACTGGCGTGAGGTGATATCTCAATGTTGTTTTGATTTGCATTTCTCTAATGATCAGCGATGATGAGCATTTTTTCATGTTTGTTGGCCTCATGTATGTCTTCTTTTGTAAAGTGTCTGTTCATGTCCTTCGCCCACTTTTGAATGGGCTTCTTTGTTTTTTCTTGTAAATCTGTTTTAGTTCTTTGTAAATTCTGCATATCAGCCCTTAGTCAGATGGGCAGACTGCAAAAATTTTCCCCATTCTGTTGGTTGCTGATTCACTCTAATGACTGCTTCTTTTGCCATGCAGAAGCTGTGGCGTTGATTAGGTCCCATTTATCTATTTTGGCTTTTGTTGCCAATGTTTTTGGTGTTTTGGTCATGAAGTCTTTGCCTATGCCTATGTCCTCAATGGTTTTGCCTAGATTTTCTTCTAGGGTTTTTATGGCGTTAAGTCTTATGTTTAAGTCTTTAATCCATCTGGAGTTAATTTTAATGTAAGGTGTCAGGAAGGGGTCCAGTTTCTGCTTTCTGCACATGGCTAGCCAGTTTTCCCAACACCATTTATTAAACAGGGAATCCTTTCCCCATTGCTTGTTTTTGTCAGGTTTGTCAAAGATAGGATGGTTGAAGATATGTTGTGTTGCCTCCGAGACCTCTGTTCTGTTCCACTGGTCTATATCTCTGTTTTGGTACCAGTACCATACTGTTTTGATTACTGTAGCCTTGTAGTATACTTTGAAGTCTGGTAATGTGATGCCTCCCATTTTGTTCTTTTTGCTTAGAATTGACTTGGCTATGCAGGCTCTCTTTTGGTTCCATGTGAAGTTTAAGGTGTTTTTTTCCAGTTCTGTGAAGAAGGTCATTGGTAGCTTGATGGGGATAGCATTGAATCTGTAAATTACTTTGGGCAGTATGGCCATTTTCATGATATTGATTCTTCCTAACCATGAACATGGAATGTTTCTCCATCTGTTTGTGTCCTCTCTTATTTCGTTGAGCAGTGGCTTGTAGTTCTCCTTGAAGAGGTCCTTTACATTCCTTGTTAGTTGTATTCCCAGTTATTTTATTCTCTTTGTAGCAATTGTGAATGGCAGTTTGTTCTTGATTTGGCTCTCTTTAAGTCTGTTATTGGTGTATAGGAATGCTTGTGATTTTTGCACATTGATTTTGTATCCTGAGACTTGGCTGAAGTTGTTTATCAGTTTCAGGAGATTTTGGGCTGAGACGATGGGGTCTTCAAGATATACAATCATGTCATCTGCAAATAGAGGCAATTTGACTTCCTCCTTTCCTATTTGAATACCCTTTATTTCTTTTTCTTGCCTGATTGCTCTGGCTAGAACTTCCAGTACTATATTGAATAGGAGTGGTGAGAAAGGGAATCCTTGTCTAGTGCCAGATTTCAAAGGAAATGCTTCCAGTTTTTGTCCATTCAGTATGATATTGGCTGTTGGTTTGTAGTAAATAGCTTTTATTATTTTGAGATACGTTCCATCAATACCTAGTTTATTTAGGATTTTTAGCATAAAGGGCTGTTGAATTTTGTCAAAGGCCTTCTCTGCATCAATTGAGATAATCATGTGGTTTTTGTCTTTGGTTCTGTTTATGTGGTGAATTACATTTATAGACTTGTGTATGTTGAACCAGCCTTGCATCCCCGGGATGAATCCTACTTGATCATGGTGAATAAGCTTTTTGATGTGCTATTGCAATTGGCTTGTCAGTATTTTATTGAAGATTTTTGCATCTATGTTCATCATGGATATTGGCATGAAGGTTTCTTTTCTTGTTGAGTCTCTGCCAGGTTTTGGTATCAGGATGATGTTGGTCTCATGAATTTATTTGGGAAGGATTCCCTCTTTATGGATTATTTGGAATAGTTTCAGAAGGAGTGGTACCAGCTCCTCTTTGTATGTCTGCTAGAATTCAGCTGTGAACCCATCTGGACCTGGGCGTTTTTGGGGTGGTAGGCTCTTAATTGCTGCCTGAACTTCAGCCCTTGTTATTGGTCTGTTCAGGGTTTCGACTTCTTTCTGGTTTAGGCTTGGGAGGAGGCAAGCGTCCAGGAATTTATCCATTTCTTCCAGGTTTACTAGTTTATGTGCATAGAGTTTTTTGTAATAATCTCTGATGATGGTTTGAATTTCTGTGGAATCTGTGGTGATAACGCCTTTATCGTTTTTTATTACATCTATTGATTATTCTCTCTATTCTTTTTTATTAGTTGGGCTAGTGGTCTCTCTATTTTGTTGATCTTTTCGAAAAACCAGATCCTGGATTTATTGATTTTTTGAAAGGTTTTTTGTGTCTCTATCTCCTTCAGTTCTGCTCAGATCTTAGTTATTTCTTGTCTTCTGCTAGCTTTTGAGTTTTTTTGATCTTGCTCCTCTAGCTCTTTCAATTTTGACAATAGGGTGTCAATTTTAGATCTCTCCTTGCTTCTCATTTGGGCACTTATTGCTATAAATTTTCCTCTAGAGACTGCTTTAAATGTGTCCCAGAGATTCTGGTATGTTGTGTCTTCGTTCTCATTGGTTTTGAAGAACATCTTTATTTCTTCCTTCATTTCATTGTTTATCCAGTCAACATTCAAGAGCCAGTTGTTCAGTTTCCATGAAGCTGTGTGGTTCTGAGTTAGTTTCTGCATTCTGAGTTCTAACTCGATTGCATTGTGGTCTAAGAAGTTGTTTCTTATGATTTCCGTTCTTTTGCATTTGCTGAGGAGTGATTTACTTCCAATTATGTGGTCAATTTTAGAGTAGGTGTGATGTGGTGCTGAGAAGAATGTATATTCTGTGGATTTGGGGTGGAGAGTTCTGTAAATGTCTATTAGGTTTATTTGGTCCAGGTCTGAGTTCAAGTCCTGGATATCCTTGTTAATTTTCTGTCTGGTTGATCTGTCTAATATTGACAATGGGGTGTTAAAGTCTCCACTATTATTGTGTGGGAGTCTAAGTCTCTTTGTAAGTCACTAAGAGCTTGCCTTATGTATCTGGGTGCTCCTGTATTGGGTGTGTATATATTTAGGATCGTTAGCTCTTCTTGTTGCATTGATCCTTTTGCCATTAGGTAATGTCCTTCTTCGTCTCTTTTTGATCTTTGTTGCTTTAAAGTCTATTTTATCAGAGACGAGAATTGCAACTCCCGCTTTTTTTTTTTTTTTCTCTCTCCATTTGCTTGGTAAGTCTTCCTCCATCCCTTTATTTTGAGCTTTTGTGTATCCTTGTATGTGAGATGGGTTTCCTGGATACAGCACACTGATGGGTTTTGGCTTTTTATCCAATTTGCCAGTCTGTGTCTTTTGATTGGGGCACTTAGTCCATTTACATTTAGGGTTATATTGTTATGTGTGAATTTGATACTGCCATTTTGATGCTAGCTGGCTGTTTTGCCTGTTAGTTGATGCAGAATCTTGATTTTGTTGATGCTCTTGGAGTTGCTGGTACTGGTTGTTCCTTTCTATGTGTAGAGCCTCTTTCAGGAGCTCTTGTAAGGCAGGCTGGTGGTGATGAAATCTCTGAGTACTTGCTTGTTCACAAAGGATTTTCTTTTTTCCTTCACTTATGAAGCTTAGTTTGGCTGGATATGAGATTCTGGGTTGAAAGTTCTTTTCTTTAAGGATGTTGAATATTGGCCCCCACTCTCTTCTGGCTTGTAGGGTTTCTGCTGAGAGATCTGCTGTGAGTCTGATGGGCTTCCCTTTGTGGGTAACCCGACCTTTCTCTCTGGCTGCCCTTAGTATTTTCTCCTTCATTTCAACCCTGGTGAATCTGACGATTATGTGCCTTGGGGTTGCTCTTCTTGACGAATATCTTGGTGGTGTTCTCTGTATTTCCTGGACTTGAATATTGGCCTGCCTTGCTAGGTTGGGGAAGTTTTCCTGGATAATACCCTGAAGAGAATTTTCCAGCTTGGATTCATTCTCTTCATCACATTCAGGTACACCTATCAAACGTAGATTCGGTCTTTTCACATAGTCCCACATTTCTTGGAGACTTTGTTCATTACTTTCTATAATCTTGCCTTCTCCTTTTATTTCATTGAGTTGATCTTCGACCTCTGATATCTTTTCTTCTGCTTGGTCAATTCGGCTGTTGAAACTTGTGCATGCTTCGCGAAGTTCTCGTGTTGTGTTTTTCAGCTCCATCAATTCACTTATATTCCTCTATAAGTTGTCCATTCTTGTTAGCATTTCATCAAATCTTTTTTCAAGGTTCTTAGTTTCTTTGCATTGTTAGAACATGTTCCTTTAGCTCACAGAAGTTTCTTATTACCCACCTTCTGAAGTCTGATTCTGCCATTTCATCACACTCATTCTCCATCCAGCCTTGTTCCCTTGCTGGTGAGGAGTTGTGATCCCTTGTAGGAGGAGAGGTGTTCTGGTTTCACATGTTTTCATCCTTTTTGTGCTGGTTTCTTCCCATCTTTGTGGATTTATCCACCTGTTGTCTTTGTAGTTGCTGATTTTCAGATTGGGTCTCTGAGTGAAATTCCAGTTTGTGGATGATGAAGTTATTTCTGTTTCTTAGTTTTCCTTCTAACAGTCTGGCCCCTCTGCTGTAGGACTGCTGAGGTCCACTCCAGGACCCACTTGCCTGGGGATCACCTGCAGCAGCTGCAGAACAGTAAGGGTTGCTGCCAGTTTCTTTTTCTGCTATCCTTGTCCCAGAAGGATACCTGCCAAATGTCAGCCTGATCTCTCCTTTATGAGGTGACTCTTTGGATTTAGGGTGGTCAAGGAGCTGCTTGAGGAGACAGTCTGTCCTTTATAGGAGCTCAAGTGCTAAGCTGTGAGCTGCGTTGTTCATTCAGAGCTGCTGGGCAGGTACATTTAGGCCTGCTGCAGCAGAACTCATAAACTCCTTTTTTTTTTTCCCCCAGGTGGTCTGTCCCAGGAAGTTAGGGCTTTATTTATGAGTTTCTGTTATGCTGATGCCTTTTTTTTCCAGGGCTGCCCTGGCCAGCAAGGAGGCAGCCTAGTCACTGTCTGCCCACAGAGGCTTTGCTGAGCTGCTGTGGGCTCCACCCAGCTGCCATGGGATTTTCCCTACAGTCCTGTTTATATGGGTGTAGTTAGAACTGCCTTGGCAATCGTGGCCCACCTCTGTAATGGCAGACTCTCTCTGTAACGGCAGGTTGCCTCAGCAACGGCGGGCTGCCTCAGCAATGGCGGACTACCTCCGTAGTGGTGGAGTGACTCAGTAATGGCGGACGCCCCTCCCCCACAGAGCTGGACCGTCCTGGGTTCAGCTGTACTTACTGTGAAACTCTCAACCCAGAGTGTTTCCAATTGCTGTTGTTTTTGTTTGTTTGTTTTGTTTTTTTGGTTTTTTTTGTGTGGGTGGGACCAGCCGAGCCTGATCACCTGGCTCCCTGACTCAGAATCTTTTTTTTTTAGTTGAACAGTCAACTCTCTCCCAGGTGTTCCAGTCACCTGTTGAAAAGGTGCTGGGATCTTTGTGATTTCCCATGCGGCGTCTCACTGCACTGGCTCAAACAGTGGCGCTGAGATTCGTGGTGATTTTTTTGCCTGGGAATCTCCTGGCCTGGCTCCCTGTTTCAGCCCCTTTTAAAATCAGATGAATCAGTGACTCTGCCATCCCCGTGCTCCAATCGCCAGCTAAAAGGGCACCCAGGCCAGTGTATTTTGTACAGAGAACTGCCGCGCTGCCAAAACAGCTGCACTGGCCAAAACAGCATGCTGGCGACCCATGGGGCTCATCCACCTGCGAGTCTCCTGGTCTGTGGGCAATAAAAATCCATCTGGAAATGCAGCATCCACTCACCCTCTGCGCTATCACTGGGAGCTGCAATCTTGAGCTGTTCCTAGTCGGCCATCTTCCAGGACCTGATGAGCTTTTTTTCATATGTTGGTTGAATGCATAAATGTCATCTTTTGAGAAGTGTCTGTTCATATGCTTCACCTACTTTTTGATGGGTTTTTTTTTCTTGTAAATTTGTTTAAGCTCCTTGTAGATTCTGGGTATTTGACATTTGTCAGATAAATAGAATGCAAAACTTTTCTCCCATTCTGTAGGTTGCCTGTTCACTCTGAAGATAGTTTCTTTTACTGTGCAGAAGCTCTTTAGTTTAATTAGATCCCATTTGTTCATTTTGGCTTTTGTTGCAATTGCTTTTGATGTTTTAGTTATGAAGTCTTTGCCCATGCCTATGTGCTGAATGGTATTGCCCAGGTTTTCTTCTAGGGTTTTTATAGTTTTAAGTTTAAGTCTTCAATCCATCTTGGGTTAATTTTTGTATAAGGTGTAAGGAAGGGGTCCAGTTTCTGTTTTCTGCATATAACTAGCTAGTTTTCTGAGCACCGCTTATTATATAGGGAATCCTTTCCCCATTGCTTATTTTTGTCAAGTTTGTCAAAGATCAGACAATTGTACTTGTGTGATATTACTTCTGAGGCTTCTGTTCTGTTCCATTGGTCTATATATCTCTTTTGGTACCAGTACCATGCTGTTTTGGTTACTGTAGCCTTGTAGCATAGTTTGAAGTCAGGTGGTATGATGTCTCCAACTTTGTTCTTTTTGCTTAAAATTGTCTTAGCAATGCAAGCTCTTTTTTGGTTCCATATGAAATTTATTTTTTTCCTAGTTCAATGAAGAAAGTCAGTGGTACCTTGATGGGAATAACATTGAATTTGTAAATTACTTTGGGCAGTATGGCCATTTTCATGATATTGATTCTTTGTATCCACAAGCATGGAATGCTTTTCCATTTGTTTGTTTTGTCTCTTGTTTCCTTGAGCAGTGGTTTCTAGTTCGCCTTAAAGAGGTCCTTCCCTTCCCTTGTAAGTTGTATTTCTAGGCATTTTATTCTCTTTGTAGAAGTTGTGAATGGGAGTTCACTCATGATTTGGCTCTCTGTCTATTATTGGTATATAGGAACGCTTGTGATTTTTGCACATTGATTTTATATCCTGAGACTTTGCTAAAGTTGCTTATCAGCTTAAGGAGTTTTTGGGCTGAGATGATGGGGTTTTCTAAATATACAATCATGTCATCTTCAGAGACAGTTTTACTTTCTCTTTCCCTGTTTGAATGCCCTTTATTTCTTTTACTTGCCTGATTGCTGTGGCCAGATACTATGTTGAATAGGAATGATGAGATATGGAATTTTTGTCTTGTGCTGGTTTCCAAAAGAAATGCTTCCAGCTTTTGCCCATTCAGTATAATGTAGGCTATGGGTTTGTCATAAATAGCTCTTATTATTTTGGGATACATTCCATCCATAACAGTATATTGAGAGTTTCTAGCATGAAGGGATTTTGAGTTTTATCAAAGATAAAACTCATCTATTGAGATAATCATGATTTTTGTTATTGGTTCTGTTTATGTTATGGATTATGTTGATTGATTTGCATATGTTGAACCAGCCTTGCAACCCAGGGATAAAGCTGACTTGATCATTCTGGATAAGGCTTTCAATGTGCTGCTGGATTCATTTTGCCAGTATTTTATTGAGGAATTTCATATCGATGTCCATCTGTGATATTGGCCTGAAACTTGTTTTGCTATTGTGTCTCTGTCAGGTTTTTGTATCAGGATGGTACTGGCCTCATAAAATGAGTTAGGGAGAATTGCCTCTTTTTCTACTGTTCAGAATAGTTTCAGAAGGAATAGTACTAGCTCCTCTTTGTACTCTTTGTACCTCTGGTAGAATTCAGCTGTGAATCTGTCTGGTCTTCAGCTTTTTTTTTGTTGGTAAGGTATTAATTACTGCCACAATTTCAGAACTTGTTATTGGTCTACTAAGGGATTTGGCTTCTTCCTGGTTTAGTCTTGGGAGTTTGTGTACAGGAATTTATCCATTTCTTCTAAATTTTCTAGTTTATTTGCATAGAGGTGCTTATCGTATTCTGTAATAGTAGTTTGTATTTCTGTGGGATCAGTGGTGATGTCCCCTTTATCCTTTTTTATTGTATCTTTTGATTCTTTTCTCTTTTCTTCTTTATTAGTATGCCTAGGAGTCTATCTACTTTGTTAATCTTAAAAAAAAAAAAAAAAAAAAAAAAAAAAAAAAAAGCACCTGGATTCACTGATTTTTTGGAAGGGTTTTTCATGCATCTATCTCTTTCAGTTCTGCTTCGATCTTAGTTTTTTTTCTTGTCTTCTGCTAGCTTTTGTATTTGTTTGCTCTTGCTTCTCTAGTCTTTTAACTGTAATGTTAGGGTGTCGATTTTAGATCTTTTCTGCATTTTGATGTGGGCATTTAGTGCTATAAATTTCTCTCTAAACACTGTTTCAGCTGTGTGCCAGAGATGCTAGTACGTTTTGTCTGTGTTCTCATTGCTTTCAAAAAAACGTTGTTATTTCTGCCTTAATTTTGTAATTTACCCAGCAGTCATTCAGGAGCAGGTTGTTCAGTTTCCTTATAGTTTTGTGGTTTTGAGTGAGTTTCTTAATCCTGAGTTGTAATTTCATGGCACTGTGGTCTGAGAGGGTGTTTGTTATGATTTCCTTTCTTTTGTATTTGCTGAGGAGTGGCTTGCTTCCAATTATGTGGTCAGTTTTAACATAAGTGCTATGTGGTACCAAGCAGAATGTATATTCTGTTGATTTAGGGTCGAGAGTTTTGTGGATGTCTATTAGGTCGACTTGGTCTAGAGTTAAGTTCAAGTCCTGAATATTCTTCTTAATTTTCTGTCTCATTGATCTGTCTAATATTGACAATGGGGTGTTAAATTCTCCCAGTATTATTCTATGTGAA